TTTTGGTTAGATGCCCAAAATGTAAAGGTGGACAGCTTTCTTATTTCGGTAGTAAACTGTAAGGTAAGGTACGTTTATTTATATAGCACATTTCAGACGCAGAGGCAATTCAAAGTGCTTTACATGATTATTACACAATAAATAAACATAATGGAATAACAGTTTCATAAAAACAATGCATTAATGAGATATAAAATAGTTTAAAAACGACATTGTAAATACGGTAAGTGCTAAAACAAGTTAAAAGGCTTCTGGGTGTAAAAAGTAGTGTTTTTAGTCTCGACTTAAAAGAACTCAGCGTGGGTGAAGACCTCAGGTTTTCTGGAAGTTTATTCCATTTGCTGGGAGCATAAAAACTAAAAGCAGCTTTGGCGTGTTTGGTTCTGAGCCGGGGAACAATGAGTAACCGATGATCTCAGAGCTCTGGGGGGCTCGTAACAGGGCAACATGTCAGACATATATTGGGGTCCCAAACCATTTAATGCTTTATAAGTTAACAATATCATTTTAAAATCGATTCTGTAAGCTACTGGTAGCCAGAGACCTGAGTACTGGGGTGATGTGTTCTACTCGTTTCAACTGTATTCCATGATCTAATATTATATTATATTGATTCTCTAACACTGTAGCAACTTTAGAAATATAAGGAATGATCTGTGAAATGTTTTAAGACATATTGATAAAACACAAACTCTTTTATTGTATTTCTTTTGGTTCTTTTTCAGGTCGATCTGTTTGTATACTTGCTCTAATATGTGTTTCACATATTTCAACAATGACTTCGAAATTCATTTGCTTTCATAAACATCTTCATAAAAGCCTTAGCTATTTGCAACCAAAACAAAAAGCTATTTCACAAACACTCTCACCCAATGATGAAATAATGGAGTGCTGCAGCAAGGGCGGATATGGAGACAGTGATTTCACCTGCCAATTTAAAGGGCGGTCTAAACCGAGATGACTGAAAATAAAACAATATAATCATCAAGGAACATAAAGTGATGTGAAAAGAGCTCTCCAGCATTTGCATGCGTTATGACACAAAGTAAAAAATAATCTCCAATGCTTTCAAGGTTATTGAACCGTGCACTGGTGTGTCCACAGAGAGGAGAGCAAACACAGCACAGAATATTTACAGGGGAGCCACAACTCTGTCAGAAAGGTGTGTGTGTGTGTGTGTGTGTGTGTGTGTGTGTGTGTGTGTGTGTGTGTGTGTGTGTGTGTGTGTGTGTGTGCGCGCGACTGTTTTATATCCAGAGGCTTCCATTTGGTTTTTATTTATTCCATTATTTCTCCATATCAGAGCTCCATCTGAACAGTACTGATTATGTTATTTCTAAATGAGCACAGCTGAGGTTTGCAAATTCAACAAGCCATTTAGCTGATTAGGGCCCTCCGCTCGCCGTACATCACAAATCACATCCGAGGCTTATCAACATTCAGGACACGCACTTCTCTTGATGAATATAAAAGTCGAACAAATATGCTTAAAAGCTGCTTCCTGTTTGTTTGTTTGTGTGTCTGTGTGTGTTAGGAATCTTAAAGGTCACCTATTGTGCAAAAACCACATTTTCATGTCTTTTATACATCAACATGTGTCCCCTCTGTAAAGAGACTCTGAAAGTTTCAGGAACAAAGATTCTCTCACTTTTTGTCCTGATCCATTTCTATAAAAACCTGTCTGAAAATGAGCTGATCAGATTTTGGCCACTTTATGATGTCATAACGATTATTGTTGTAGGCTTATGTAACCATTAGCCAATCACCAACCAAGGTAGCCCCCCCCCCACCTTATCACCTGAATATCCTCGAGCCAAACACTTCAGAGACATGTTTTGTATATATCTGACACCTATAATATGTTGATGAAAAACAGTATAATAGGGGACCTTTAATATTTGATCCACTCTGTGAACTTCTTCTCTCTTCCGTAGCACCGTAAGATCACCTTCGACAGGGCCAGCGGTCTGGTGGAGGTTCTGTTCGACCAGCTCTCTGCGGAGGACGAGGGCTCGTACACGGCGCAGCTGAAGGACGGCCGCGCCAAGAACCAGTTCACTTTGGTCTTTGTGGATGAAAGTGAGTCCGGCGCCAACAAGCGTCATATTGGTTTTTGTTTAATACCAGAATCATCTGGAAGAGTTTCATTTAAATAAAAGTCTGTTAAATCACCATCAGTCGCTAAACAAAGTAACACAATGGTGAGTAACTCTCATGATTTTGACGATATCCTTGATGTTTAGAAAATAAATGTATTGATTTCATGTTAATGATACACATATGATAATGTAAATAATCCACTGGATAATAAATGTTCACTTTTCTAAAGTTATGGATACAGACTCTGCCTCCCCTCACTTTTTTTTAGTGCAATCAATTTGCCAAAATAGAGATCAAATACACAAAAAGCTAAGATAATATGAATTTGAATGAATTCAGTATTATATGTTGAGGTTATTTTGGAAATAAGAGCCTTTTTGGAGCAACAGGTTATCATTGGTTCTCCCCATGTGAATCTACTTGTTTGTAATGCTGTCTGATATTGTTTGTGTCTCTGTCAGAGTTTCGTGAGACGCTGGCCCTGGTTCAGAAAAACCGGCGTGACCATAAGAGAAAGTCTGGTAAGAACCCTCCAAACTTCAGTAACACACTGCTGTGTGATAAATAGAATCACCTCTACTAGTTGCAATGGCTTTTTGATCTAAAATATAAAGAGACATCTGTTGCAAATAGAAAGACAGGACGCTTTCTGTAACACTGAACTCTGTGTTTTCATGACCTGAGCTCTGAGATGTGATAAGGAGAGATTTACCACTCTTTTGTGTATATAGGCCAATGTCCCAGTGCCCGCTTGTGCAAACACTCAAATATTCAAAGTCCACATAAAAGACAGTTTGTCTCTCACCTGCAGATTAACATGATGCAAAACATATTTTATAGAGGGACGTGTTTATTTATTTCATGTTAATATAAATGTTCCCTCTCTTATTGCAGGCAGCTTCTCCCTGTCAGTACTCTTGTGTACCACACAGCCATAATTGATGTTTTATGATGCAAGTGTGATTCATCGGTTGCTCTGAATAAATGATGGTCTGTCGGCCACTGCTTCTAGATGGTTGATCATGTCTTCTGTATTCCCAAGGACCGTATTTCGAGGAAGACTTGTCGTGGAGTGTAAATGAGGATTGTGAACTGGTTATAAAGTGCAAGGTACTTTTTTCAAGAATAAAAGTGCTAATTTCCATATGCAAACTAACCTAACATCATATTAAGAGCCTGGAACAGTTGATACATCATTCAGAGGCAAGTTAATGTTCTACTTGTAATAATAGATACATGAATAGTTCGGGGACTTCATGAAGTTGTTTCTGCACCAGTAAACAAACAAGATATAACATATTAACTAATGGACTTTAGACAAACAGGTTTTATTACCTTTGATCAGAGCGAGGCTAGCAGTTTCCCCCTGTTTCCAGTCGTTATGCTAAGCTAGGCTAATGGCTTGTGGATTCAAGCTACATATTGCATGGTCAGAATAACAAGTATTTTCATCAAGTTTTTGCAAAGAAAAGCAAACAAGCACATTTCCCAAATATGAAACCTTTCCTTTTAAATTCTGTTATACAATATATGTTAAACCAGTAATAACAGCAACTATTATAACACTGGTTTGCATTCGTAATGTAGATTTTATACGTACATTGCAATCACTTTTTTATTCAGGTATGTGTTTTCCTCCATACACAGGTGACCAATACACACAAGGACACCTCAGTGAAGTGGTTTAAAGAAGGCGTGGCGGTGACGCGAGTCGTGTACGACCAGTCATCAGGAGTCAGCACTCTCACCATCCCACAGGTACCTAAAATGATTCTGCTTTGTCTTCAGACGGGAATAGGTGGGAAGTTTAGAGTTCAGGGAAATGTGAGTCAACATTAATAATTTGTAGCTGGTGCAGTGAGAGGAATAAGATTAACACACCGTTGATGTTTACACTTTTTTGTCTTATTCGCTATTATTTAGTGTGTATTCGGTTAAATATAAATATGAATTGAAGGTTTTCTCCAGAGGTATCAATATTTCATTTGAGAAGCTATGAATATTTTTTATTTTAAAACAATGCTTGGTCATTCCTCAGGTCACAAAGAAAGAGGCAGGTTCCTACAGAGCGGTGGTGACAGATGGGAGAGGAGAGGATGTCAGCACCTTAGAGTTACTGGATGACGGTGAGACGTGACCTTGTCCCCAGAAAATTGAATTTATTCCTGTGTGGCACAAACGGTCCATTCATTATGAAAGTGAGGCGATTAAAGTCCCTCTTTTACTTCATTATGTGTCCTTAGTATTCAGCTACCTACCTCTAATCGCACATTTAGTATTTATTGACTTCCAAAAGCAATATCAAACACAGTTTAACCGCTTAATTGGTATTTTTATTTACAGAGTATGACAAGCTTCTCCAGCAGCTGAGCAAACAGTGCGGTGAGTTATTCCCAGGTGGAAGCCACACCTTTGTGAAATGTGCCGGAGACTTTTTGTTTTTACAGCAGGTGTTCTGTGTTGGCATGGGGATAATACGACAGAAAGCCATGTTAATTACCTGTGGTGCGTTTGTGCTGTTCCTGAATATTAATTCATTCAAATGAAAAAATTATAATTTCTTTATCAATAAATCAGCCGTATTACCTTGAATGATTGAAGGAAACGTTTTTATTTGTATTTTGCTCGCATGCGTCCAAGTCATCCAGTTGTTGCTCACTGCTTTTCTCGATATTTAAGAAAATGTTGCTTTCTGAAACACTTGCTTAAAGGTAGGGTAGGTAATTCACTTCAGAAACACTTTTTGTTATATTCCATGGAATGCTCTTAACATCCCGATAGCAATGAATATATTAAATGCTTTGACAATAAATACATACAACAAAAATGTAATCTGTGGAAGCCGTGGTACTGTAAAAAGCACGACCAATCATCTGAGCCGGCCCGGCTAAAATAACTGGATGGCCTACCTGCCTGTCAGCCTTCCATCTGTGCACAAACTTATCTCGTGCCCTCATTGGTCATGTGCGCGTTCGTGTGTGTTGGAGGAGGGGCTCTGTAAGGAAGTCTGAAGGAAGGGGCAGATTTTTTTCGGCTGCGTACTTTCAAATTCTAGCGCACTGGAGCTGGTTTCTCCATTCTTACCTACCCTANCAGACCTTTGTGCGGCCGTGCACACACAACACTAATTGCTGTTTTTGATTCATAGTGACTTGTCATAATCGCAGCTGCATGCAGGTTTAAATTAGTGTGCACCTGCATGCAGCTGCGATTATGACAAGTCACTATGAATCAAAAACAGCAATTAGTGTTGTGTGTGCACGGCCGCACAAAGGTCTGGAGACTGAGCTAATAAACAAAGTCTGTGAGACTTGAGGAGCATCTGAGCTTAATNGTATTGTCATAGCCGTGGGAACATGTTTCAAATGGGGGGTGCTGTGGGGATGACACCAGGGCTGGTTCTGACCAATGTGCTGCCCTATAGGCAAGATTTAAAATCTTGCCTATAGGGCAGCACATTGGTCAGAACCAGCCCTGGTGTCATCCCCACAGCACCCCCCATTTGAAACATGTTCCCACGGCTATGACAATACGACACCCTCTGTCCTTAGACCCTCACATCGTAGGCTACAAGGAAAAACTTCCGGAAAAAACCCACAGTTTAAAGGGGAACATGGGAGAAACCTCAGGGAGAGCACTGGCTGCAGCCCCTCCCTTCCCTGCTTTCAACGTGAACGCGCAGCGCGCAGAGCAGACAGTCAGTCACTCAGTCAGACAGGCCACGGCGGGTGTGTGGTGCAGCAGCACGCAGCAACACGATTAAAAGTGCCCTTGTGACGACCAAGTAAGTAACCACCAGGTAACAAACACAACGAGTGTATTGTTTAATCCCCTAAATCAGATGCCAAACTAAACTATAACTTCACTTCTTTTCTTGCTTACATCCATTTAGTCTCGTTGTGCACTTTTGAAAATATCTCGCATTGCGTGGCATTGTGAGCTTGTAGTCTCGTTGTGCACTTTTGAAAGTAGCAGATCCTCGCAATGCGAGGCGTTGTGAGCTTGTAGATGGCTTTCTTATATTATTTGACAATTTGGCCAATGTTTGACCAGTTTTTATAGTAGTTTGTTGATTACTTTTGATGCAGTAATGCAATTTTTTCATTTCATTTTATTTATTTCTGAGGTATTAAAAAGGTCTTAAAAGTCACTTGTTAATAAAGTATTTAGTCAATCAATACAATGCTCACTCAAGTCATTATTTAGTCAGTTATTTATTTCATAGACACTAAAGCATCCATGTACAATGTGGCACTGCAATCTTTGTTTGTTCTGTTGTTGCTTATTTAAATTGTTAAAATAATTTACCAGAAACCAACCTGTTGAATATTATAAACATCAGACAGCATATGGTTATTGAAATAAATATATATGCAATTATGACATACAAGATGTGCCTTTAATAAATCTCACACTACTAAGGCAGCCGGCGGTTCCACCAGGGGCATCAATCCCGGGGGGGGGGGGTGGGGAGTTCGTCCCCCCCTAGCTTCAGATTGGACCCCCCTAAGTCATTTAGAATAATAAAAATAAATGTTAAAATAATTCATTTTTTGATAATAAATCAGTAAAATCAGGCAAAAATAAGAATTAAATAACATAACCCTAACCTAACCCCGAAATAAAGTAACCAAAAACGAAAAGAAACAAAATCCACCATTATCCGGCAAACTTTCGCGCACAATTTAGGAGCGCACAATTTCTTTTTTTTTCTCTTGAGCACATGCCCCTATAAATGTCTGTGCACGCCACTGGCTATGGGAGGTCTATGAAGGTCTATGGGACGTCCTGCCCGTTGAAAACTGACTTCCAAGGGGTACCCTGTACGTAATAGAGTGACGGGGAGGGGCCCTGACCGTCCGTCAATATGTGACGGGTTGGGAGTGAGAACGTGTTGGTTCCACTCTTCGTTTTCCGAATGCCAGGAAGTATTCTTGCCTCGCCTCTGAAGCAAGATGCTCGGAAGACATGTGCTACAAAGCAAGTGTACTCGAGATTCAGAAACACCCCGAGAATGGCACTGCCTCGGCCATATCCTGGTCCCCCAAACACTCGAAGCAGAGGTGGTGGGGATCGGCACCCGCTATTTAAGCCAGGGCACGAAGGACAGGCCCGGGTCTCTTGAAGTGGCGACTCCATGAAGATATGATAACTCTTTCTTCTTCTTTCAAACGTTTGACTTTCTCTGCTTCAGTTGTTGCTCGCTCGTTCAAGAGAAAAGGATAACAGGAGCAGGAGGCGTGGCCACCTTATATACGGTGGGCTTGTGCACGCATTCAGGTAGGCCTGCCCCGAGGGCCGGCTACGTTTATAGATATCTCAATAGGTTTAATGCTCGCATAGTATGCTCAAGGGGTAGTACCAATAGAGTCCAGTAGAGGGCGGAGCCTGTGTAAGATATAACCCTTGTTTTCATTATTTCTTTACTTGTTTATGGAGCAGCATTTTTTCCAGTGTGCACTTTCATGGTCGCAACAGTGATTCGTTGATTTATCTCCAGTCATTTATGATGCACCCCTAACATGTTCAAGATAACAGATCCACACGTATAAAAGCTCTCTGCTGATCAGTGAAGGCAGGTCTTAGCACTGTGAGCATGTCATCTGATCTGTGTCCGTTTCCTGAGCTCTCTGTAGCTAGTGTGACATTCAAGAGTTATGTTTAGAGTTCTGCAGACTGTATGCATTACCTTGCATTAAATTGCTTTAGGTAGACCGGATGGCCATCCAATCATATTCTTTCAGGCAAAATAAAACAAAGAAAGGACCAATCACAGTCCTGCCACAGATAGATATTGGATTTTTTTATTATTTGACAGTGCCCTTGATTTATTTATTGCTTTCAATATAGCAAAAATGTTTTGGGATCAGATTATCCACCCTATCTTTAATGCATCAATATTCATAATCCAATTTAAAAATAATATCAAAGTACATTTTGATTCTAATACTGTTGTAAAAAATACATATAAGTACAATTAAAATGCAGGAATTGTACCTGTAATTACGTTTTTCTACATGGGGTACAGCTGTTTTTTATCCAAGCAAAATATCGGAGAACTGCGTCCACCGATATAACAAGAAGAATGAACACTTGAAATGATTTGAAAACACAAATATTATTATTGTCAGATCTACGTCCCGATATAGGACAAACAGTCACACACTGACAGCTGTCTTTCTTGTCCTCAGGATGTTTGACTTGCTGCATTCAGGATAGTCAGAGTGGAGGCCAGGTGTATGGATTGCTGTCATATGTAGGATGGGGGGGTTTAGTATTATACTTATACAACATACTAAAGCAAATTCGTCACATTAATAGACACATAGCTATTCTACTCACACATACTATAAATAACAACAATAATGACATCAACATGAATCAGATGTAAAGTATGAAAATTATCAGGGGTGCACAAATTCACGACCGGATTCCTGTGTCAGAGAGAGACAAAGAGAGAGAAAGTTTGACATTTTACAATTATGTCATTTTATAAAAAACGAAATCCATCATTATAATTAAGAAGTAAAGAAATGTGACCGTACATGCTTTACTTCACCTTTTAAATAATCATTTCCCTGGCCTCGTTCAAATCTTTGTTTCTGCTCAGGCATGGCCAGAAGTGTTTGCTGATAATGAATCATAAACAACTTTCTGTATCTTCTGAGCCCACTGGATGGCGCTCGGCTCAATAAAGGGTTTAAGCTCACTGAATGGCAAGCCCTTTCGATGTTTCTTTGAACCGAGATTGCCATCTAGTGGGCTGAACTACAGCTTCATTTGGAGATGACCAACCGCCTGTCCTGATTTGAACCATCTTTTTAATCTATTGCCATAATACAAAATAACCTTTAAACAAATCACATATTTTGCTGAACACTACTAAAGAGCTATTTTATCATGGCACTAAAACCAGGGGAGGAAACCAAAGTCCCAGGATGCTTCACCAGTGACAAGTTTTGTTTTGGTGCAAAAGGTTTAGAGGTTGAACATATGAGCGAGTGTTCCAAATAATCAGAACACCTTTAAAAGGAATACAACACGTTTGTTGAACATTATGGATCTGGTCCATCCTTTTCTTCACTATTTGCAACAGAGTTTAATTGCATGTCTTAAGCGTGGTTACTACAATGACTTTCAATCAGAGTCTGTGAAATAAAAACAAGATTTACCAATAAGACCCACCTTGTTATTGAGATTTTTCTTTGAACATTTACTGTGGTCACTGTATAATGTCAGCCAGCTTCTCATGGTAGTACTCATAGTTTTCTTTGCAGTCCTCCCACAGGTTCAGGGGCTGATCCTCGTTCTCCACAAATGTCTCCCAGGCGTAGGAGAAGTCCAGAGGCTTCATCACCCGCAGCTTACAGCCAGCAGCATGCAGCGCCTTCAGCCCGTCCTGGATCTCTGGCTCCTCCCACTCAAAGAGCCGAGCAGAAAAGATGCTCAGCTTCACGTTGGTCCTTGCCTTCAGCACTTCAGCTATCTTTGTTGCACAAGCAGAACATGGACTTGAAGACACATACCTGAGAGCACAGGAGATAAGGAGAAATGCCTTTCATTTCCAAACATGCTTACACGTCTCTGTTCATTTTAAGGATAAACAGATAAAGATGCATTTCATATATTCAGTTAGAACGTTCACATTTTTGCATGCAAGTGTGTTCCTTAAGGAGACATTCACCACGTCACAGTCAGGTTTCTGTCGAAAAATACAGTTTAAAAGTGTTTATGTGAAAGAAGATATTCCGAACGGTCCAGCTCACTGGGAGAGCAGGTGAAGACCTATAAGAGGGTTGTTCTAAAATACGAGTGGTGGGCCTTCTCTGCTGGCCTAAACACTGTCAGAATCACTAACCTTTTAATATGGTTTTTTTCATTAAAGTGGACCTATCATGCTATATTTGAATAAGATAGTGTAGGACCATACCTATATAAGACAATAGAGAGGGTTGTGTTTTCTGACACTTGGTGAGTTCCCTGGAACACCGGGGACACATATTCATGTATAAAAAGACGTACAGAAGTGCATTTTGCATGATAGGTCACCTTTAATGTATGTATTAAATCAGCCTGCATTTACTTGGTCATTTACAACGTTCTGCTCTAGTTGACTTAATCTTCATCTGCATTACTTGCACATTGATCTGCAACATAATCTGCACTATCATTTTCTAATCTGTTTCTTCTTGCACTATTTAATTGTTTTTATCGTTTTTTGTCTTATATTGCCATTTCTACACTGTATGAGATTAAAGCTTTTGAATCTTGAACTGAATACATTATTTCCAATAATCTGTTCTCTTCATTTTATAACTTTTCTCTGTGTTGCGCTCGGTTGCGCTGCGTCCAGTAATGGTTGTTAATGTTGGAGCTTAAATCCAATCATAATTCAGTCAGAATGTGTTGCTGGGCCAAATAAATCTGTCTGAGGCCTTCAGAATCGACCTTGTAATTTAAAACAAATGGCAATTAAACTGTTGCATTGACCAATCAGATTTAGAGTTGGCGAAACCGGGGCCATCTAGCAGGCGTATGATGACGTCGGAATTTTCACGTCCTTTGATTGGATTGTCAGCGCTACTAAACAGTGTTTAGCGTGTTTAGCGTGTGTAGCTACCGGTAGCGACCTGCTAGCAAACGGCATCTGTAGCGTCCTTAGCAACTACACACTCTTATTTTCGTGTAAATCTTAAGGCTGTTTTTTTAAAACCACAATGGCTGACAGCAGAGGATACATTTATTTGGTGAAGCTAGCAAGTCTGTCACAGCCGGTGAAAGGGTTTGTCCAGGGCCGTGGGAAGTAGGGGTGCTGAGGGTGCTGCAGCACCCCCTGGTGGAGGACAGGGGATCTGCACTTTCACAAGATTAAATACAAATATAATACAAAAAAAATGAATGTAACAACATTCATAATTAAGTAAAGATAACACCCTTTTCACCCCGGTTACATTTTCCATTTGCCCTGTACGATGGGTGCTGTAAGTGATGAAAGTGGGGGATGTTGGCTTATTAGGCGCCCGAAGCTCACGGCCAGCGTGAGAGAGAGAGAGAGAGATAGATAGATAGAGAGAGGGGGTGCATCGGTACTGGCGGGGATTGTTGTTAACGGCTAACGGATATAAGAAGATGTTTCTACAATAATGTGGAAGGAGAGTTCTCTCCTGTCAGACTGAGAGGCTCAGTGTTTAGATAGTTCACTTTAGTCTAAGTTATCTCAGTGGGTCTCAAACGTTTTGATCACAATTTATGTAAACAAATATTTCCAAGGCACTCCTTTATAATTATTAGTATAAATAAAAACAGGTTTGAAATCATTCCAATGTATACTACAGGACAGTAAACCCAAAATATTGTTTAAAATTGGAGAGATTTAAAAATATGCATAAATAAATAAATGTTAACTGGTAAAATTAGATATAAATGAACCACAAAAATAAAAC